CCCTCCCTTAAAAACGATGTATGAAATATGGACTTTGTTTTTGTTTCGTTGAGATGAAAACGACCAGCAAAGCAAAACAAACGAATCGGAAGATGCCAGATCTTTCTTTTTTTCATTATTTAAAATCAATTTGAAAGACATGTAAATTGTCCTTAGAGATAGATATATACAAACCTTTTATGGAAATAAGTTTTCTTCAAGAAGTGAATTTCAAGCATTCCTTCGTAAGCGACGAGCCACATTTTCATATAAACATATAAGTGAACAAGTCAAATTGGCTGAAAATCTAAACATGTCTTTCAAGAAAACACCATGCACCCACAACGAGTCATTATTTGGTGTGGATTTTTGGGCTGGCGTAGACATCGGAGCGTACTTCTTCGAAAACGGTGCCGGTAACGCTGTTAAGGTAAACGATGAACGTTATCATGACATGATAACAAACTTTTTATAGCCTGAATTAGATGACAGGGAATTGGACAAAATGTGGTTTCAACAGGACGGTGTCACTTGGCACACAGCGCAAGAAATAAAGGCCCTATTGCGAAAGAAGCTCCCAGAGCGCATAATCTCACAAAAAAGCAACGTGAAATGGCCGCCGAGATCGTGCGATTTGATACCATTGGATTTCTTGCTCTAAAGCTACGTGAAAGGTATGGCCTATGCCAATAAGACCGGGACGATTCCAGAGCTAAAGAATGAAAGCATACGCGTTTAGATGACATATGCCAAAAAGTCATGGACAATTTTGATATGCGCTTCTTAGGTTTCCCGAGGAGCCATGGTAAGCATTTAACAGAGGCACACATACATGCCATAGCCGAAAAACATGACGAAAAAAATTTTGTTGTGCTTTATTTATAAATAAGAGAAAATCTAAACTAAACAAAAAACTAAAACTACCTCCATTATCAAAGTAATATTTCTAGGCACAAAATACTTCAGCGCTACTTACCCCATCGGGATTGAATTTGGGTGAGGCATGTGGCGCACAAAATTCCTGCAACACATCCTGCAGCTTTCTAGTCGAATCTGCAAATACATGAAGTGAATAATGTCGGAATGTCAGTACCGCTTGTAACAAACTATTATAAACAAATTCGATTAAAACTAGAAACAAATGGAATAGTACTCTCAGCCAAGCATTAAATTGCTTAGCAATTATTACATACAATACAAATTGTAATTGCATTGATATTCCTACATGTTGATGTTGTACATATACATTATAAATAGTTAACCGTTTGAAATCGCTTAGCATTTTACTATGCATTCTTGCAAGTTGATTTGAAATTTGCTGAAATTTATTCGTATACAGTTATGTATATACATACATACATACATACATACGTGCAGTTGCATAACACTATCGCTTTGGTTGTGGCATTTCATTTGAATTACAGATGTTAACTATTTGTTACAAAAGCTGAAATGCTTTTGTAGATTTCATTTATAACATTTAGGACATATGTGTGGCTGTACATATGAATATGATATTAACTAATTGAATTATGTACCTACATACATACATATATAGACACTATTAATATAATAGATAAGTATATATGGTTATGTTCACAGCTTAATTAAGCTTAAATGACAGTTATAACTGTATTGTAGTTAAATATCAAAAGGCAGCCGCAATTATCATCGTAGAACAGTAATACAAAGTAAGTACAAATAATCATAACTTCGTTATGTTTTAGCCGCTTGCGAACTACTATTGCTGCTGTAAATTCACATCTCAGATAACAGAAAAATATCGAAAATATTTTTGTACTTTATGCAGAGATAAAGCTTTCTTCTTGATTTTAGTTAGTTAATTGATTGGGGGTGTAAAAAAGGACACCACAAACTAATCAAATCATAAATCGAGTAGATTTTCTAATTAAAAACGTATTTAACTTCAAATAAATAACGGAACCCTGTCTGGTAGAAGAATTCCTCGTACTGTGGAAAAATCAAAGTTCGAAAGGGGTCCGGCTCCACAAGACCAGACGATGAGCATTTTTTAGGAAATTTTTCGGCCACCTCCAGGAGTGTGCTGGTGCCCATCATAGTGTTGCCGTGTTTCTCCCTGCCATGAGTTGAAGAATACCAAAGCAATCCCGGACTAACATGGAAATGATCATCCCACTGGTAGGTAGGTGTGGATGGCACTGCTACGCAGGGACACACATAGGCCACGAGTTTGAGGCCCGTTGTGATACCACGACTAAGAGTTTTCACGCCCCTTTGCTAAACCATTTTGAAACCTTGACGAAACTCGTCAGGCACCTAAGGTTTAAATCTCCCAATTTGTCAGGGTTACTAAAGAAATAACACCACTGAAAGCGAATCTGCTCCTCCATACTCTCTCCTCTTCCTCATAGTTCCTTCAACTTCTGCAGCATCTATGGTAGGGCACTCTGAGCCGCTGTGAGTGTTTGCCTATGATGCAGTGGCTTGTTAGAGCACCATTTGGGTGAGATATATCCTACATCTTTAGAGAATATATGTATGCTTGGGGACCTTTTCGTTCCTACCTACGCTAAGTTTTCCTAGACAAGGCGCGAAGGGTATACCAAAGCGTTAGTTTCCCGGAAAAATCTGCTTCGATTCTTTCAGATTCGATCAAATAAATTTTTTCTTCTAGATTTTTGTATGAGCTTCCAGAAAAATTGGCTACGTAGTCCACGTACTCTGTGTCAACATTGCACCAACGAGCCTGATATACGGAGAAGTTCCTGCTATGCCTGGATCTATTGCCTTAAAAACTGCAGTGACACGGTACATGAATTTAAGCTCATTCCATTTTGCAATGGAGTTCAGCCGAAACTTATATTCCTGAATAATTCATGAAGACGAACGAGCGGACTCCAAGCCCTTTAGAGGAGCTGCGCTGTCACTGCGGACGCTGATTTGATGTCCACGCTAATTTTCGCTAAATGCCCAGACTGCTATTTCAAGTATCGCAAGCACTTTGGGTTAACAAACCTTCTAAAGCATAAGAGCACCTCCAGATGCCATCCACCTCTAGTTGTATTTTAAGTCTTGAAGCCGCCAGTGCAGAAAGTTTTTAACGAGGTTCCAAACAGAGCATCGATATCTCTTTATTGCTCCCTTGTAGTAAAGCTAACCATGTGCTTCCTTCGAAAACGTACACCATTTATCATTTCGGACAACAAAAAAATAAAGCGTATTGCTACGACAAACTTTTTAACATCGATCTGTGCCCGAAACTTTGACTATCGTGCCACAGTCCAAAAGAATGCAGCCGACCTTATGCATAAAAAGTGAGCTTAGAGCTTAGACTAAATTTTTGCACCAAAAAAGTTTTTCGACTTTTCTTGAATTCTCTGCACCAAAGTGCACGGAACATCGGCCGTTTCCCGAAAA